TGTCTGGTGAATCCTCTCATCGCCCCTGCACCACTGCCTTGTACCCAAGTTCTGTATGCATAAATAAATAAAGTAAAATCTCATAATAGCTGAAAGCTAGGAAGCCTGATACTTCAGTCAGTCTCCCCAGCATAAACAGGAAGTCATGTCTGGTCCAGACTCCGCACTTGAATGAGGTCAACCTGGAGCCCTCATGACCATCTTCTCAGCTCTAGCCACTGACCCAGCCTTTCCTCCTCTTTTCTCTTTCTCTAGAAAAGTTGAAGTGTAGGCCAGAGGTGTGTGTATGGGGCAGGGGGGGGGGATGTGGGGGGGGGGTGGATTCACCAGAGACAGGGGGGTGCAGAACAGGCAAATCTACTGAAATATACTGCTAGGGGAGCAGCAGTTGAGACAGGAGAGTTCTGCTGTGCCATGTGGGTCAGCTCCCTGGTCGGGAATAGAACTCATGCTACAGTAGCTGTGGACAGCTTCATAATGTTGAGATCTAGCCCTTTGTGCTACCAGGGAGGTCCCTTCTCTTATTTTCTAACTGGATGGCCAGGCTCTGCCAATTTTTTGTGCTCATAGCTGGAAAAAGTCTCTGCTTCCAAGAATTTCCCCTACCAAGACTAGGGTTTGTTTTTTTGACATTTAGGATTCCAGGTACAGGTTGTCCAGGAAAGAATTTACTTTCCTTAGCCATCTCTTGAGAGATTATCCTTCTCCTGAATTCTTTTCTAGGCCCTAGAGAGACATGTTCTAATAGAGGACTTATCTCCTCACATCTTATCCACATCATTAGTCTTTCTTCCTGTCTCACTCAGAAACAGGACTTCCTGACTATAATTGTGGACCTTATCTCCTTTATTACCAACACAATATTTAGCTATTAGAAAAAAGCCAGTAAGTACTGATGAGCAAAATCATATAATAGAATTGTTTTGAGGGCTTTGGTATGGATTGCATGCTTGATATTGTTAGCTCCTTTAAGACTGACAAAAAACCATGTAAGTCGGGCTTCTCTTAACTCATTTTTCCTTTCCTTGCAGTTGAAGAGAATGAGATTTGAGATAAAATGATTGGTTTAGGGTCATAGCTAAAAGCTAATTTTAAACCAGAGCCAAAAGCTTCTTTGTGATGCCCTTCCAGAATGCTTCTGTACACAACCAAGTTACACAAAAATGTGGTCATGTATATGTAAACTTTTTTTTTTATATGTAAACTTTATTTAAAAGATTTACTTATGCATCCAAGAACAGAGATGCAGGGGTGAGGGAGGTGAGATGATTCATCAGAAACAGAGTGAGGAGCAGAACAGGCAGATCTGGCCCTCCCTGGTGGCGCAGTAGGTTAAAGCACAGCACTGCAAGCGAGCCACAGCTGCTTCAGTGCAAGTTCAATCCCTGGCTCTTGAGGTGACCACATGGCGCAGCAGATTTCTGTCTCGCCCGCTGCTCAGCACCCTCAGCAGTGTGCTTCGGTGATCTGCCTTTTCTGTCCTCCACTCTGTCTAACCCCAGTTCTGTATGCATAAATAAATAAAATTAAAAAAAAAAAAACAGACAGATAATAAAGTCCATTGCTGAGGGGAGCAGTGGGGAGATAGGAGAGGTCTACTGTGTCATGTGGGTCAGCTCCCTGGGATTGAACTCGTGCTGCAGTAGCTGGTGAGACTTGGTAGTGCTGAGACTTTAACCCCTTGAGCCATCAGGGAGGCCCTTATATAGAGACATTTCTACTACCACACTGACTATTTCTGTGTCAGTAGGTACATTTCAGCAACATTCTTTTCACTCCAGTGTGTTTTTTTTTTTCTCCTTCCCACCCTCTACCCAGGATCGATGAGAATGTGCTGGGAGCCCAGCTGGATGTTGATGCTGCGCATTCAGAGATCCTCAAGTACTTCCAGTCGGTCACTTCCAACCGGTGGCTCATGATCAAAATCTTCCTCATCCTCATTGTCTTCTTCATCATCTTTGTGGTCTTCCTTGCCTGAACCTTCTCCACTCTGAGCCACTCGGTGGGGGTTTGCAACCCTCCTGGGAGGGCAGGTAGCCAGAGCTGCCACTGAGCCTGTGCAGGGTGCTTGGAGAAAGGCCCTGTGTCCCTGGAACTGCTAAGAATGGCCACTGCCCTTGATCCCCCATCCTTTGCCTCTGGTCACCCATTCTCCCTCACCACCCTCAGGCCCATGAAACACATGGTTCTGGATTTGGACTCTGCTGTGAAGTGGCTGGAAGAGAGCAGGGGCCAGCTGGAGGTCGGTGGAGAAGGTTGTCTCCACTAGGAGATTTTATGACCCCTACCCAGGCATTCCCAAAGGAAACTTTGGCAGTTGGGGGGAGATGATGCCCTTCCTCACCTTCCTGAGAGTGAGGAGAGGAAGTAAAACTGCCCCAGGGACCAACTTTCCCATCTGGGTTAGGATTTGATCTCTTCCTCTCTCTGCCACATGAGGCAGGTGCCTGCACAACCGTGACATTGGCTGCTGGTGACTCTCAACCTGCCAAATGCGCTGCAGCCCATTTTCTCCCAATTACAGCAAGACTGTCAGCCTCACTAGCCATGTTGTCATTTTTGGGTGGGAGCGTCGAAGGGCCTAGGCACCTAATGGAGTGAGGCCACTGCCTGGTACCTGAAGGGAAAGGGTTCGCCCAGTGTCCTGAGGGGCCAAACTTCAGGCTCCACACAGCGCCACCTGCAGGCAAGGGATGGCCAAGGGCAGCAACACCTTCCCTCCACACAGTGGAGATGGGGCCCTGACTGGTGGTATCATCCAGGAGCATCTCCAGGTGAGCTGCATTTCTTTCATCCTCCAACAAGCTGGCCCACGTTTTTTCTGCAGCTGGGTGAGGCAGGAGCTTTGTCAGGAGTGGAAAGTGGAATGAAGAATTTGTTCCTGCCTCCCTAGAGAGACTTGGTCTCCAACTGCCTCAACAAAGCCAAGACAGTCAGAAGAGCATGGAGAGGCCTTGCGTGGATGCCCTCTCTCCAGTGAGGCTAATGTGTGCTTCATTAGTCCTGACCAGGACCCACAGCTACAGCATCCTGAGGTCACTTGTGTACCCCCACCTCATCCCAGAGGAAACTCAAGCTATGAAAACAATCCCCATACACTGGGCTGGCCCTGGTTTTCTGAGAGGGTCTTAGCTGACATTTTAATATTTCTCTTCCCCTGGCCTAGGCAGCTCTCCCTAGAACCCCCACTGCCCGATGACAGGGTGTGTACCTTCATGGCACATCCACCTGGGTAGGGAGGATTGTGGAGACAGTTGCTGGCCCAAAGCCTAACAGTGCAGTCCCTCGTGTGATCCAGGCAGCTCTTGCATAAGATGCAAATCCATTTAACAGATACTTGACTTCTCGGCATTTGCCAGGCATAGTACAACGCCAGGCACAGGGAAAAAAAAAAACAAAAACTGAATTAAGTAAGGTCCCGGCTCTCCAGAGCTTTCCTAGGCAGGAAACAGGCAGAGACTTGCTGCAGGCCGGAGGCTGAGCTGAGTAACTGCCTGGATTCTGCCCTGCGTCTGAGCGGTCATTCCCATTCCGAGGCCTTCGTGCCCGCTCCTCCTAACCAAGTACTGGGCTTCCGCCTTGGCAGCCTCCCTTGGGCTCCAGCACAAACTGGAAGCGCGGTGTATCCCGGAAAGCTAAGCCGGGGCGGGGCTTGAGCGGGGACTCAAGCGGTGGGCAGGGCGTGTCGAAGCCGGCCCCGCCCCCAGGCGCCCGCTCTCCGAGTGCGCACGCGCGCCCCGGCTGCACTACTCCGGCGGCACCACCCACACCTTGGAGACGTCAGGGGCGCGACGTGCTTCGCGGAGTAAATGCGGCGGCGCCGGGCGTAGGGGCGCTTGGGTCCTGAGCGCTTGGGCGTTCGGACGTTTGGCGGCATCTGCGCCCGCGCTTGAGCCCGCCCTTGCTTCTCGTTGTGCCATGGCGGACGAGGGGAAGTCGTACAACGGTCAGTGTCCGGCCGCGGGTCGGGGAGATGGGCGATCTGGGCCCTGGGTGGGCGGCGCCGGCCTAGGCCGCAGCCCCGGAGCGTGAGGCCGCGAGGGGCCCAGTGTCCGCGGGGAGAGGCAGTGGCGCGGGCCGTGGGGGGCGAGGCTACCTGGTGGTGCCTGACACTCGAGGATGGGCGCCCGGGCTGTTGACTCGGGAATCCGGGCGTTTCGAGAACCTGTGGCTCGGAGCGGGTGGTTTGGCCATGGGGTGATGAGGTTCCTTTGAACTTTGTGAGTGGTTGACGCCTGTCAGTTCAGTGTGGCGACTAGACTCTTTCATGTGAGTCAGTGCCTTGCTCGTGGACCGCCTGTGCCCTATTTTCTACCGTGTCCGGTGGATCTTGCACTCGCCTCCCTCCTTGGGGCTGTGTCTTAAAATTTTAGATGTACACGGGAAGTCTAGCTGGAACACTACACCACACCAGGTTGTAAGTCCAGAGTAGTGACTTAGAAGAACTTGACAACCGAGGTTTTAATTGAGTCGGTTATTTCAAGCTTGAGGGAGTGAAAGTCTCGACCTGGTTTTCCACTCCCTTAATAAAGGTAGTAACAGTATCTACTTGCTAAGTTTGTGTGTGTTAAAATGGGAGCATTCATATCAAGTATCTGCAGCAGAGTGCGTGGCCCTGGAGAAAGTTCAGGAATATTAGCCCCACCTTTTACTCATTTGTTTGTTTTTACTGGGGTCATTTCTTGTAATTTATTATTGTTGAGTTCTAGGGGTTAAGCAAATCATTTGGGGAGTGCCATGGACCTTTTTAAAAGAAACTTCTTACAGACCAGAACTCAGAAGATCATATAGGAGAACATTCTCCCGCTCTGTATAAGCAACCTAGCTGCTACTAGCACCTGCATCTAGAAGTTGTCTTTGGAGACCACAGAGCTTTTGGGCTAAAGAAACAAGAAAAGCTCACTCCCAAAACTTTGGAGCTGCGATCTAAGATGTTAGAAGTCTTTAATGAGTCATTTATTGCTAACAGTTTTGTTATTAGTGGAAGTATTGTTTACTGAAAGCTGAGCTTATCGTTGTTGGCTTTAGATGTGAGAGAGGTCACCTCCCAGAATTTGAGGAGGACTAAGTAGATTTGGAAGGCTGAGAGAAAACACATCCATGTGACTTTATGAGAATCCAGTTTATGTCCAGTTACAATTTTGTGTCACTGACATTTGCATTCTGCTTCTACCCTCGGTGGTTCTAGCTTTTTTGCTTCAGTTTTCAAAATCTTACGCGTTTTGCCTTGATACTGCCATCCCAGAGAGAGGGTTCTTTGGACTGGCAGAAGAGCTCGCCTTGAGGTGATCTCTGTTACTTCATTTGACAGTACAGGTTGCTGGGTATTGGGGCCGCCACAGGGAGCCTCTGAAACAGTGAGATATTTTCTAATTTGCGTTCTCTTTCCAATTCTAGAGCATGATGACCGTGTTAGTTTCCCCCAAAGAAGGAAGAAAGGCCGGGGTCCTTTTCGATGGAAGTATGGGGAGGGAAACCGTCGGTCTGGCAGAGGAGGTTCTGGCATTCGGTCTTCCCGCCTTGAGGATGACGACAGGGATGTGGCAATGACTGATCCCCAGGATGGCCCCCGAGTACGATAGTAAGTGACAGTTGGTCTGGTTTGAATCTAGGAACAAGCATTTCTGTAGTCCTCTTACTGTTCCTGTTACTTCGGTTCTACCTGGGAGCATGAGACATGCCAGGATCAACCTCACAGCTGGGTAGTAGCCTGAGCTCTGCTGATGATGGTGCAAGAAGGCCTCTGAGAAGCGTTATGGACGTTTCCTTCTCTGCATCTTCACAGCAACCCTTATGCCACCCGAACCAACCGTCGGGGTGAGACCTGTTATGATCGAGACCGCATTCATGTCACCCTGAGGCCGCGAGACAGACCTCTGGACAGAGGAGGGGCTGGCACCAGCCAGGATGGGACTGCAAAGAACTGGTTTAAGATTACAGTGAGTATGTTGGGAAGTAGGTGGTGCTAGGAGCTAGGGGCTGGTCTCAGAGCCAAGGGTTTACTTTCACTCCACAATGAGACATCCATCCTTTCTCCTAAGAACTGTTATCTCAGAACACCTCAGAGCAGGCCAAGAGCCGCAGAGGGAGACAGGTAGGATGAGGAGTTCATCTGAAGGGAAGTGTGATGTCTGTGTGGGGTGGAGTAACTCCTGGCTGTCTCCATTTGACTCAGGCTGAGTGTGGGGGTTGGGTCCCCTAGAGTTTTCTAAAGGACAGGACTTTTAGATAGAATCTAACAATGTGACTCTTTTGAAGAATAAGAAGTGTAAGTGATGGGAAACCCGTGGGGATTACAATTGAGATGGGAAAAAAATAATGTACAAACTGATGTAAAAATAAACTACTATAAAAATTTTAAAAAAAGTGTAAGTGGGCAAAAAGGAGGTTAAGGAATCCATGTCTGGCTGCACTAGAAAACCATTTACTGGTCCTTTATTTAGAAAATCTTTTGAAGCTGGGCAGAAGATACAAAAGGAGCATTAGATTGGACCTGCTGTTGTTCTGTCTTATGTATCACTGCATGTGACTCCCTGCTTTTCTCCACATCTAGATTCCTTATGGCAGAAAATATGATAAGTCATGGCTCCTGAGCATGATTCAGAGCAAATGCAGTGTCCCCTTCACCCCCATTGAGGTAAGATAAGACCTGAGTGGCTGGCTAGCCACGAGGGAGGGCACAGGGCCATTTGGGCACGCGACTCTGGGCTCCAAGTGTAACGCTCTTGTTTCCTCTTGCAGTTTCACTATGAAAATACACGGGCCCAGTTTTTTGTTGCGGATGCTAGTACTGCCTCTGCCTTGAAGGCTGTCAACTATAAGATTGTGGATCAGGAGAACCGGAGGGTGTGTGTAAAGGGCCAGACTTGGCTGGGGGGGGGGGGCTGATGCTCAGGGCAGGCCCTGGGTCTTGGCGTCCTTGGAGTTTACCCTGCCTTGTGTCCCCCTGCAGATATCTATCTTCATCAACCCCTCTGCCCCACCCCATACTGTACAGAACGAGCTAAAGCCAGAGCAAATAGAGCAGCTCAAGGTGAGGCACACTCAGGTAACGTGCTTCCACATCGTGCTACCAGTCCTCACAGTCCAGTGACTCCAACCTTTCTTTCCCTCTGCAGCTGATCATGAGCAAACGCTATGATGGCTCCCAACAAGCGCTTGACCTCAAGGCCTTCCGCTCAGACCCAGGTGTGACTGATGGTGGTCACTGTGGGTGGGTGAAGGTGGAGGGTATCTGCCAGGCAGGGAGCATTTGGGATGGCTTGGCATTCATGCTGGCCCTGGCCAGCCCTCTGAGGCTTCCTTTCCTTCTTTTCTGCTACCTGAAGACTTGGTGGCTCAGAACATCGATGTTGTCCTGAATCGTAGAAGTTGTATGGCAGCTACCCTGCAAATCATTGAAGAAAACATCCCTGAGGTGAGTCCTCTGTACCTCCACTCCTAAAGACCGATTTAGGAGGCAGATTTGTCTCTGCTTCCCTCGTGGCCACTATCTTCTCTTCATTCTCCCCACAGCTGTTGTTCTTGAACTTGAGCAACAA